GTGTGTGTGTGTGTGCAAAGGTGCTATAACATTACTCTCCACCAGCTCTGCCATAGGTGGGATCATCAGACAGGTGTGTGCTAGGCCTGCCTCAGCCTTCCCCTCCCCCCACCTCCCCTCCCTCACCCTCTCACACACACACACACATAGATTAAAAAAAAAACCCACCCCCACCTCCTTTGGTTGGCCTCCTTCACCTGATGGCCAGAGTCTGAGGAGGAGTGTGTCGTGTGCGTTGTGTGTTTGTACGTGAGTGTTGGTTGTTGCAGGCACAATGAAGAGAGAGGGTCTGTCAGTAGCCACCTGTTGGCCAGCTGTCAGGGTCCCATTTCAGGGGTCGCCTTTCCATGCAGACGCAACAGGAGCCACATCTATCTATCTATCTATCTATCTATCTATCTATCTATCTATCTATCTATCTATCTATCTATCTATCTATCTATCTATCTATCTATCTATGTATCGAGTCCGTCTAAACATTCTCATCACTGTAAATACCTGCCAGTGACGTAGGAAAACCTGAGTTTTCTCCCCCCAAAAAAACAACCAACCACTAAAAGATTAGACGAGGAGGACAAGGAGGAGAAGGAGGTGGAGGAGGAGGGGCGGCCGTCTATGTAAGGGGTATCTAAATGTGTCTCGTTTGATGCTGATCAATGGCTCGTGGATTCCGTCCTCTTCATGTCACATTACCATCTCTATAGGAGACTTGATGGAGAGCTGGGGGTGCAGCAGCAGCAGCAGCAGCAGCAGCAGCAGAGGAGGAGGTGGAGGAGGGGAGGATTGGCAAAACCAAATGATGAATGAGTGATGGAAATAGGGAGGCATGAAATGGACAGGAGGAGGAGGAGGTGGAGGTAGACACGATAGGATGGAGTTGGATTGGAGAAGGGATAAGTGTGGAGGTGTGCGGGGAAGGTGGGAAGAGAGGGGAGAGATAATTTCCTATGAGGAGTCTGCAGGAGGTGGGGGTGGCGGCTGAGTGTTGGTGGGGGTTTAATGGCTCTGGGTGCTGCCTCTATTAGCGCCAAGCAGCCACTAGATGACAGAATAAGATGAGTGCTGAGATGATTTTTCAGGATTCGTACGCTGGCAGGGTCATTAATTTGTCACTATTAGCTGCTCCGCCGGCTTATACAGGGAGAACAAAGAGACGCACGACAGAACATATTAGATCACATAGTTTGTCTTTGTGCAAAACTAGTCGTCTTTAAATCATTTCAGTTTAAAGCTGCTACAATCAATATTTGCAATTCACAGTTGATCAGCTTATTACTTATGATTACCTTTCAGTCATAATGTACACACAGAATCTGCAGTTCCTCTTCAACTTAAGTGCAGCTTCTTACAGCTCATTGTTGGAGTATTACTGCTTTGATTGACTCCCATGGCTCTCACAACATCATTTCAAGCAGCAGACAGCTGTAAAGCTATAAATGATGAAGCATTAATAGACAAATTGTTAAAATATGATAACCGATAAGGCAGAAGAAGCGACACGATGGAGGTGCACGCATGAAAACTGATTTTAGATTAGTTGTAGTACCTGGTTGTGCCACAAGGTGGAGTCTCTTACTGTTTAACACTGTAGTGAGGTGAGGAGGCGGTCACTTGGACTACCAGTAGTTTCGTGTTGGCAAAGCAGAGAGCATGGTGGGAGTTTAGCTGGTAAAATGCCACGATGAGAAAGCCTCCTGTGATGCTTAATGTGAGCTGAAGTTAATTATGACAGAGTCACTAAAGGTTAGTGGCTGATTGTGTATAACAGTAGAGTAGCTAAGCTCACCTGAAATAAGCTGCTAAGCACTTAAAGCATTTCTATCTGAACATGGAGCTAGTTCATTTCATGTTAATGATTAAGGGATGAATGACTGTTAAATATTGGTTAGGAAACCACACACAAAAATCAAACAAACCACAAAAGGACTCAAAACCCTGTCTTCACCCTAAGTCAGCTGGGATAGACTCCAGCCCCCCACGACCCTAATGAGGATTACGTGGTGTATAGATAATGGATGGATGGATCTGATAACCTTGATTACATTCTGAAAACATTATTTGAATGCTGGTTTGAGAATGTTTTTTATCATGTTATCATAATTTGTGGCGCTGACAACGTTCCTCCAAAACATGCACTTAAAATGTTATATCTTAGTTAACGTTAAGCCCTCCAGGAACATTATTTGAAATGGTAAATACCCTTAAAACATTCTGTAAACATTAGATTAAAATTCAAATTTGCTGAAGCTCTTCATCTCTGTTCCCAGTCTCTGTGCTAAGCTAAGCTGAGCTAAGCTAACCCGCCACTGATACAGTTACTGAAAAAAAAGTCCCCATTGGTGAAGTCTTTGCTGTCACCCCAGCTGATGTACTTTCTGGCAGTTCGAGTGTCTTTCTGCTCACATGAATGACAAAACTTCAAAAGGTCACTACAAAAGTTTAAAGAGTGATTCCTGCTGGCCTTATGTAACCAGATGAGCAAAATGTCAAATTGTTTGATATTCAATAAGATCCTGGCTCGCCATAGCAAAGGTCTCCATCGCTCACTCATTCTCTATTTCTGTGTGTGTGTGCACACAGAGACGGAAAAGAAAAACACTGGGCTACAATCCTGCAAAATGAATCTGCATGCTTTTTCTTTCATGTTTGCACTGATGTCTTGAAATCACTTGTCGAAGCAGGATTTGGAAGTCACACCAACCATTTTTATATTGTTAAACTTATATTCTTGTGGAATAAAAAAAAACAAAACAAAGTAAAGCAAGGACATCACATCACCGCAATCCCACAATCTGCTTTATGCAAGCTGTTTGCACAAATAGAACTTCTGTTGCATTCTGTATGCAGATCAGCATCGTCTGTGTTTGTGCTGTTCGTCCTCTCAGCTCCTCTCTAACATAAGTGCACACTTATTTAGACTCAATTACAGACAAGACTTAATGAACGACAGAGTAACCACGTGTGGGCTGTGTGTGCATGCAGATGTCATTGGATGTGTGTGTGTGCGCCTTCAAGTAGAAGGAGAGGTAAGCATCATGAACAAACCCACACACACACACACACACACAGAGGGAGCATCAGGGCCACCATTAAGAGTTCTGCACGCTAATAAACCTTCTGCTTGAATTAATGACATTCAAATCCCAGAGAACATCACAACAATGTTGCTGTAATTTAAGCTTTACACCCAAAGCAGCAGTCATGTTGCAACTTTGTGCGACGTTGCCAAGCCTCTGAGTTATTAGAGTTGGATTGCCATCTAGAGGACATTTATTAAACACAACAAACCCCCCTGCTTTATTTATTTTTCTGTGCTGGATTTGCTCAAGTTAACATTCTTTGCATCAAAGGATCTAATTTCCAAACAGCGGAGTAAATTGCAACTGCTTTTTAAATCACACTTGATGCATCCATCTGGTGGTCATTGTGGAGCTGCAGCACCTGATAAAGAAGAAGCAGTTTTTGAAAAGCACGTAATTAAAATTTGCTCAGTTCATTCAGCACATTTGCTAAATATAACCATCGGTTAGTGTGCTTATAAGACAGATACCTGCAGACAGAACGAGGTTGTGAATTCAAACCTCACCTGGAAAATGCTAATTTAACTTCCTACAACCTCAGTGAACAGGACACCACACTGACAAACCTTTCGTCTTGTTGTGTTTATTGTCAGGTAGCTAAAACGCCACCATCTTTAATAAAAAAAACACGCACACATACACAAATTCACCTCCGTAACAGCTATTGACAATGGAGCTACAAGTGTTGTCTTTACAGATTTAACACAGGGTGAATATATAAAAGAAAAACAATCCATTTGTTGCTGAAGTGCATTAAAGGCTGTTGCAGAAAGGTTTCCGGAGTAGTAAACAAATAAACAAAATGGCAATTCAGCCATCAAATACTGAAATAAAAGTGTATTTAACAAGATTTTTTTTTTCAGTGTGAAAAGCAGTTTTGACCATAGACTGTATATTAAAGGTGGACATAGCGGCTGGGTTGGAAAAGTGACGTGAAGTGCTTTAAGAATGTATTCTGTGTAACAGCCAGCAGGGGGCGACTCCTCTAGTTGCAAATAAAGTCCTGCTGTATAGAAATCTGTGAGTCATTGACTTTACTTCTTGCTTAATTTGTTACCTCACCAAATGTTTTCCCAATGAGTTAATGGTCTCAATCACCAGTCTGAAGTTTTTTTAATACGACAAAATGGTTATTCAGTCAATTATATTCCCATTGAGAGTGAAATAGGCAGGAAACAGGGTATCCTTTACGATGTAGCTATCATGTGGCTGAAAAGTTGCGACCATATGGGCATGCATCATGTCGCCAAGTTCTCAGGAGAGATGTTGATGATTACTGATAAGACAGGTTTGCTGTGGTAACTAGTTGTGCTACGGTCTTGTAGAGGTGGAGTTACAGGTGTGTCTGCTCACTGCCTGGTAAAGTCCCATAAAACAAGCGCACCTTGCTGCTGTCTAACTATTAACTGTGGGAGTTGTGTTGATGAACTCTGCAGCATAAAGTTGTAAAAAAAAAAAAAGTTGGCAGCTGTCTGGATTAGCAAGCTACCTGAGGCTCATGCTAACAGTAAACAGTGTCTGTCAGCACAAAGGCTAATGATGCTAATGCTGAGGACATGCTTCCAACAACATTAAAATGATGAAGTGCATCTGCTAAAATCTAAAACCATTTAGAGGTGGCAATAAATACTGATAGACTTCCTGGACTGATAACGTTGATGCAACAGTATTTATGGACATTTGTTCCAGCTGAGCCGCTGTTTTTAACTAACTTTAATCACAGTGAACAAGTCACTCTGTGGTGCAGATCAGGTGTTAGGATTATTTTGATCTCAAAGCGTTGTGAAGAAATGAATATGTCTACATGTTATATACGGTAGGAGACTGCTGAATGTTTGCTGTGTTGAATATTTTGAATTTTGTTTGTTGATTATTTTTGTTATTTAATTCATAATTTAAGTAACCTAGTGTTTCCTGTATTTGTTCTTCAAATTCCTTAATTCCTCTGAGCCGGTTTCACGGTGAACATTAAGTGTCAGCGGCTGAAAGTGGTTTTAGCAGCATATGGAAAAAGGTCCACTTTATTTTATTTGTCAGTGATTTATTAAATGTGGACTGTTAATGTGCTTGACTATCATTTGAGGACAGTTTTAAACTCAATTAGATCAACATCCTACTCGTCACATCCAGTTTTAAAAGACTAATGCGGTGACGGCAAGGTACCAAATCAGAGGCTTTAAAACTGTAGTCCACAAACCAATGTGTGATGTCGCAGTATGTTTATCTGTCATATACAGTCTATGGTTTCTCCAGACGTTGATGTCAGAAGTTGCTGACATACGTGGCACAAGAAGACGTCGTGAGTGTGGTTCTGTGTATCAATAAGGCACATTTAAGCATTTCAGAGCCTCATTTCTTGACGAGTTTTAACTCGAAGGACATCCAGCAAACAGAAATGACAGTTTGAACATCTGTAAAAAAGTATAAAACACAAATCCTCCACTCCTCCCCTGCAGCTGTCTCAGGTTGTAAAGCTCCTTTTGGCCACTACGGGGTGCTGTTAAGTCAGTTTTACGAGAGAAGTGAGGTAAGTAATTTGGCAGGTGTCTTTGTAATCGTCCTCCGGTGTGACTGGTCATTGATTAGCCCAGCTAGAGATCAGTCACACCAAACCGATAGTCCTGTTCTTTACGTTGTTCGTTTTCTTCTCATGCACGTGAATAAAAAAAAAAGTCAAATACCTAAAAGACTTTCATGCAATGCCTTTCTTCATAGTGGGGTCTCTTGTACCTTTCCAAAAAAAACTACATGTAGAATGCAGAGGTCCATTTGAAATCCTGAAATACTGGTCGTCACTCCAGGAGAAATGTTCCTCACTGCAGCACCACGTCCACTTTATTAACTTCATCAGTCAGTGACATCAGTGCAGAAACCGTCCGGCGTACGTTTCACGGACCGATGTTCAGAGGAGGTGTGCGTTTAGGTCGTACTTCTCGCAGAACTTGTCTGTGATGGGGATGCAGGTGAGGTACTCGCACCAGTCGCATTTTACGGGGTAGACGTAGAAGAGAACAGCCAGAGCGGCGAGCAGACCGAGGAAGACGAGCAGGAACACGCAGATCTGCACTCGCTTTCGGTACATATCAGAACGCCCGAAGCTTGGGATTTAATAAAAAAAAAAAAATACTGCATTAGTCATTCCATAATGGAGGTAAATGAGCGAGTGAAAGACGGTCACATGAAGTGCATGTCTCTGAGCGATCAAATTGGATTAAATTATAGATAATTATGAAATTCACCATAATGACAGTGTCAGAATAACACAATGGATTTTCACACATATTGTAAAGGTACAAGATTTTTCTCAGAGAGTTCATGGTGTTCTGCACCAAATGCTTCAACTTGCAAGTTTTACTGGCTTCATCCAGATTTCCTGTCTTGGACTGGAAAAATTTAAATGCTGCTATAAGACATGGGTTCCTTTCAGCTACCACAACATCAACACTGATGCCAGATTATTCTGTTTATGAACCTATTATGGAGGATTGTGGTTAAAACGTGGTTCTGTCCTTAGTTTTTCTTGACTAGAACACTTTGTGAGAACGTTTGAGTTAGTAATAAATGTGGAGTTCTTAGCATTGGAATTAACTTCATCATAATTTGAGAGAAATAAAATCAGTTAGGGATATATGAGAAGACAGGCTACAACTAGTAGACAGTTAGCTTCGCATTAAAACTGGAAGCAGAAAGCTAACCAGCTACAGCTAACCGAATGATAGAAATTTAAAGTGCTGGTAGGTAGATTTTCTTTCCTTCTAAACAGCAGGTTATTACTATACTGTTTACAATGGTAATGCTAAGCTAAGCTAAGCTACCTAGCAGCTGGCTCTACCTTCATATTTAGCCTATAGATATAAGAGAGGCTTCAATCTTTCAATGTAACTCTTCAGAAATTAAAGCAAACTAGCATTTTCCCACAAATTTTACCTCTAGTGCTACTGCTGCCCTCTATAGCTAAAGCTGATTAATAATCTTCTTGCTCATTTTTCTTTTCATCTATCCAAAGACACAAACACACCAACATACAATCTCTCTGTAAACTGATCTCAGAACACCAGAGAGGTGCAATCATGCATTCTCTTCACCCACCTGATGTACGGCAAGAAGGCAAAGGACAGGAAGAATCCTGAAACAAAACCACAGACGTGGGCAAAGTTGTCGATCCAAGGAAGCAGACCAAAGGAGAAGAAGAAGACTGAGATGGCCAGCAGCTTAGCGAACGCCCGCCACGGTCGCTCGAGGATCTGCCAGCTCTGAAACAGCTCCACGAACAGACAGGCCAGGATGCCGAACTGGCTGCCAGCAGGACCCACCTGGGAGAGGGGAAGGAAAAAGAGAACACGTGGGTTGATTATTGTTTTACACAGACAATGCTATACAAATGCTCCAAATGAAATTTCAATTTTTTTTGGTAATGGTATTTATTCATTCAATCGTGTACACGTCTGGGATTTATCAGATGCAGTATCTTGTGTACAGTTGGCTCGTACCTCTGCTCTGTAGGGCAGGAAGATGGCCGAGGCCAAGTTGCCAGTGATGCCACTTAGCATGTAGATGATGGAGATTCTCAGCCAACCAGCCAGCTTCTCTATGTCCCTCAGCACCGTCATCTGGAACAGCACTGACACCAGGCAGTGCAGGATCCTACAGACAAGACAGCCAACAAGTTATTCTAAACGCTCACCCAACTCCATCGATTAATTTATAATACAACTGATCTATGATTTAGACAAACAGTTTTGTTTTGACATCAAACAGCTACTTTAGTGCTGCAGTAAATACTAAAGCTACGTCTGAGGTTGGCAAAGGAGAAGAAATCAGTCACCCAGCATGAAGAAAGAGAGACAGCCACAAGCGGGAGAACTGATCTGGGATCTCTGGGTTGAGGAAAGGCAGCAAACCACACACATCATCCATACAGGCCACCTGAGAGAAACACATGAGGAGACAAAACAGTCAGGACTGCAGGAGCTGTCGGACCGTGAGGCTCCACCGCCACCCTGTGGAGGAACCCGACATTGTTGAATTCAGGCCAAAGTCCTTTCAATCGGCAGCACTCTGCAGGCTCCAGTGGCGCAATCGGTCAGCGCGCGGTACTTATAAGACAGTGACCTGCAGAGCAATGCCGAGGTTGTGAGTTCGAGCCTCACCTGGAGCAGTGAAGTTTTAGGTTCAAACTGGGTCGCTGGATGGCAAAAAAAAAACAGGAGAAGGTTGCAAGTTCTGTGAAATGAGCCGTTTGTCCTACCTGTGAGCAGAGAGTGGCCTCCTCGTGGAAGTAGCCATGCATGAAGTCGCAGTACTCTCTGGAAGTGATTTCACATCTACAACAGAAAAAGCAGGATTGACTTTTAGCTTTTAATTAATGTGATTAAATATGCGCTTTGACTACATAAAAACTGCTTTTATATACTACTTTATATAGTGTATCATTGGACTGAGTGGTGGGTCAGTTGCCTTTCTGTCCTTACATTAAAAAAACCTAAAATATGTCATATTTAGACATGAAACTAGTCAAATATAAAACTGGTAACAGTTGCAGGAAATCTACGCTGGCTCAACCCCATTTGTTGAAAGCACAGCAGCTTAAAATCTTTCCCCGGGATCCTTACCGTCCTTTGGTTCCGATGCAGCAGGGCCGGCCTGTGATGGTGCAGTCTATGTGGGGAAGGTTGGTGTGATTCCCGGAGTTGTACCTCGTACAAACCTACAGATCGTAACCACAGGCAGAGTTACGCAACAACTACTTTTACAACAGCGAAAAACAAGGAGGTGATTGTGTGCCTGAGCTTCACCTCAAGTGAATTCCTTAAATGTAATTACTGACTTATTCACCTTTGTAGCCACCTTTTAGGGACACTCCCTTTACTCCACCCAGCAACCCTGCAGTGCTGTTTTCTACCATTTTATGCAATAATTCAAAATATATCAATGAGCTTTAACAGGCACGTCTTGTGAGCGCAAGTCTCATCAAGTTTAATTTACATTCTAGCAAAGATTTTTAATGTTACCTCGTAGCTTCATAATTTATATGTAATATAATATATTAGCTAAAAGCCTGAACTGTTGACATGTGGATGTACTTACTGGCCACTGGGTGATGTCATCGGGCCACTCATGAGGGGAAACTGATGCTGGCTCCAGACAAATTCTACAAAATCAATAGCAAAAGTTCTAAAAATTAATAACAGAAAGAACAGTGAACATTGCTCCGACAACACAGTCCACACATGAAGTTAAATTATGTCTGTTAAGTGTCAGCAGACTGCTGCTCTTGCCAAAACGATGAGGTCTACAATAACAGCAACAAAGTGCTCTTCTAAGTGTACTCCATTAAAGAACAGGGACAATAATCACAGAGTCTTCTGGTGAAGTACGCAGCAGTTGTTACGCTACCTGGGGTCCTGGTGACACACTGAACCATGCTGCCGGAGTTTTCCATTCAAGTGTGGAGCACTGGGGTGCTGAGGCCACTTCACCCACACTGCCAGGGTACTCTGCAGTAGAGGACAGGAAAATAATATGATGTTTCTATTCAGTCAGCACTAATATTCTCACTGGTGGTCAAGAGCGTTTGCCTGATGTATTGATAGCTCAGTGTTTTGGGTAAATCCTTCACTGACCGAACACTCCTCCTGTAAAGTCTGCAGGCAGCCGGATCGATCGTTCCTCACACAGCAGCCGGATTCTCTCTCTTTCACCTTTTTCTCCTGGATCAGTTTGTGGATCTCTTCGTCTCGACGCATGCACGGAGAAAACTTGGCTCCTAAGTGGATCAGCGCTTCCTGTAGGTCAGCATTGGTAACATTGTAACATTGGTAACTGCCACTAGTTTCTACAGTCTACTCTCACAGCCCTGTTAAATAAACTCATACACCTCTTCACTGACACCACCCTCATGCTGCATATATGTTAGGAATTACATTAAGCTGGATATTATCTAACTGTATATTATATACTATTATTGGGGTTGGCATGGTAGAGTCGTGTTTAGGACTATCACCTCACAGTTAGAAGGATCTGGACCTGCTGCTGAGCTGGGGCCTTTTAATTTCAACCACTTATCGATTACTTAAAGCTAATAAACCATTTTTCCATTACATCAGCTAATTTCATTCATTTATGTATTACTTTATCTTGCTGTTTCAACCATTTATCCAATATCTTAGGTCATTTCAGCTGTTTACTCATTACTTTAGCCTCATAATTCATACATTCTTAAATTGTTTTACGTAATTTCAGCAATGTATCCACTATTTTAGCCAACTAGTTCAATAATTAATCAATTTCTTCAGCAAATTTCAGCAGTTTATCTATTTTATTAGCTAACTGCAGCTATTTAGACGTTACTTCAGCTCACTAGTTCAACCATTTATCCATTACTTAAGCTAATTTTAGCCATTAATCTATATTTTTTGTAGCTTAAAAATGTATCTATATCTTTAGCTAATTTCAGCAGTTTATCTATTTTGTTAGATTATATCAGCTATTTAGACTTTACTTTAGCTACCTAGTTCAACCACTTATCCACTACTTTAGCTAATTTTAGCCATTAATCTATGACTTTAGCTCAGTAGCTCAACAATTTATCCATTTGTTTGGTTTGAATTCAGCCATTAATCCATTACGTCACCTAACAATGTCAATAGGTGGATCGTTTTTTTAAATTAATGAACCATTTATTCATTGCTTTTAGCTAATTCAACTATTTATTCAGTGTGTCCAGTTAAATATTTTAACACTTTGTCTACTACTAACTGTTCTAGTGTGGATAGTTTATGTAAATATGCAGCTAACGGAGCTATGTCCATGACTTTTAGCTAATTTAATACCAGTAATCCAGCATTCTATATTAACCATTTACTCAGCATTGTTAGCTAACTATTTCAACCATTTATCCTGCTCTAAGAAAAGCAGGTATTTGTAGATAGATTAAAGATTAAAAGTACTTACAGAGCTTGGACCCACCCAGAAGTTTTGTTGTTGCACAAACTTAACGTTTTCATAAACTCCCTTGTTCCTCAAAACCTCAAAAATGAAAACAAAGGATCACATTATTAACCAACTTGTTCACAACAGAGCAGCCTATGCCATATAAATCACTGTAAAGAGTGTATAATATACTTACAGAGTCAACCGTTTCATGTTGTGAGAAGCCCACAGGGGCAATGCCGTAGATAGTGACAGCCAGAATGGTAATAAGCAAATGGACACATGTGATCCAGTAGGTAAAAAAAGGCCTGCAGAGGAGAGGAGGGCACTTCATGCTTCGTTCAAACTGTGTATAATTTTACATCAGGGGACGGTCATCCCAAAAAGAAAACAGAATCAGCTTTCTTACCTGTGATCATCCATGTCTTCAATCTGCCTCTTGACGTAGCTGTCAATGCGTTTGCGGTACGTCCGGTTTGTCAGGCGGCCGACCATGCCCAGCCCGTACGGTCTCTTCTCTCGGGCGAAGAGTTTCTTAACGGGAACCACGATCCTCTGTCCTCGCTGCTGATGACTGTTGACACTCACCACCTCCTGTCTGAGACGCACTTTAGGCTGGACCAGAGAGCCATCTTTTGCCTTCCGCCACCCTCGCTCTAAAGGCCTGGATCAAGGAGGAGCAGGGAGAGGAAATTAATAACAGAGATTGAGATTTTTTTTCCAGTCAGGGCATATTATAATACAGACAGTAATCTCATAAGATGGTATTTTGAGTGACGTAAGAGTTTGGCTTTTGGTGTCTCCTCATATCTCCTTTCATATGTTCAAAAATGAACTTACAGCATGAGGTGACTTCTTTCCAGTTCATTCTTGTCCAGTGCACTTCCCGTGAGCTCGCTCTCATCCAGCTGTTTGAGGGCCGCCTCTGACGGTGTCTCAAAAACCTCATCAGCATAGCTGGACAACTCATCCTGCAGGCCATCCTGCAAAGACGAGAATTAAGTATATAAGAGTCCAAAACAAGAGCTAATAAATAGACATGACACATGCTCAGACCACAAGAAGGTGCTTTGACTCCAAGAGCCAAACATCAGCTGTTTGGATCTTGAAGATGAGCTAAACAGAACAAATTCCTGCATCTCAGTTCTCTCAGAGATGCTTATCTGAGAGAAACAAACACAAAAAAGAAGGATGGCTTGCCCTTAAGAAAAACTACAGAAAACATTTTGTGCGACTGCAGACTGTAGAGCGGTGTGTGTGTGAATGTGTTACCGCTACTCACTCTGGTGAAGAAAGAAGTGTCTAGATCATCAGGGAAATCCACAGTGTCGTCTTCAAAGAAGCTAGGAGGCATGAAACTCCGTCTGCGATGTCGCCCGGCGGTGCTTTCACCTAACGTCCGGCCCTAACAAACACAATCCCACACATATCATCATTATTATTAGACAGAAGTCATGTCACTTAGGCAATAAAATAACTCTAAAAAGGCGACATAAGTAGATTTTTACACATTATTTTGCACAGTGCATTACCCGTATTAGCAGATGAGACCATGGTTAATATTATTATCAGCCACTGTTTACACTTTTGGTCTTATAGGTGTGTACAAGCTACCAAACACACATTTCTTCTTGTCTGTTGTTTACATGGCAGCAGTGGCCTCTGTGTGTTACTGGATTAGCTCTGCTCTTCTGGAATATTCTGCCCACAATCCAGCAGATAGCTGAGCATTCGCTGGGTGTATTATCATGAACCATCTGTTAGTGAAACTGCCCCAGTAACCCCCACCCAACACACACAGACAGATACTGCCATAGAGCACAGCTACATATTTTATCCATGCTGCATGTGTGTGTCTGTAGCCAGCGGCTCACATACAGAGAGTCACTCTACTGTAACATATTTAGTTTAATCTTCAATAAGACGAGCTGATCTCATGTTTTACGTAACATCCCTGCGCACATTTAAACACACAGACAGATGCAAGTACAAGGACAAACTGACAGCATTAAAACCATCCATTCATATGTTTCAGAGGCAGGAAACGTCACCATGTACTGAATGCAGATTTGTAGAAGTCTATCTACAAAGACATAAAAAAATGGAGATTACAGTGTGTGTCGGGGCCGTTTTCCCAGAGAAGCTTAGCAGCACCTTTGATATAGTTTAACCAGCTATAGCAGGTCCTAATATATATTCATGTTACAGTGCTTATAATAATATTAACCGTCCTTTCCCCTTTTATTTCGTTTCAACATTGAATCATGGCCAATTTAATTAGTCTTTTTAAAGAGAATTTAAAGAGAAAGACTCATGTCAAAGTGAAAACAAATTTCAAATGTCAATTAAATAAAAATATAAAACACAAAATAAGTGACTGCATCAGTTTTCACCTCCTTCAGGTCAGTATTTAGTACTTTTGGCTGCAGTTCAAGCATTGAGCTTGTGTGGATAGGTTTGGACAATTTTATCTCATTCTTCCTTTGAAAAACTACTCAGGCTCTCTCAAGCCCTTTTAAAATCCTCCCACAATTTCTCAACTGAATTGAGGTCTTGGCTCTGACTCGGTCACTCGTCTTTAAACCATTTCTGCTTTCGCTTTATGCTTTTGATCTTGCTTTAAAACAAATCTTCTCTAAAGTCACAGCTCTCTTTCAGGCTGCTTCAGGTTGTCCTCTGGGATTGTTCTATACTTTCCTGCATTCATTTCACCCTCTACCTTTACAACCCTTCCAAGACTTGCTGTGGAGAAGCAGTCCCACATCATGATGCTGCCACCACCATGCTTCACAGTGGATGTGGTGTGTCTTTGATGTGTTTGGTGTCTTTCAACAACAACAGTCCAAAGCACCTTCTTTCAGTTTTCAGTTCTTTCAGTTTTCAGTTCTTTCAGACTTTAGCGTCTCCCACTAGCAAACTCCAGTCGAGATTCAACGGAAGTTCTTTTTTAACAATGGCTTAAAAGGGGCAATAAAAGAAAAACAATTTCAAGGGAGGTGAATACTTTTTATAGGCGCTGTATGCAAAAGAGACAAGACTTTACATTGCAGGAAGATCTGCGCTGGCAAGGGCTTTATTGCAAAAGTTCAAAGCAGATTTTGCAAAGCATGGTATGTTGTTTTTGTATCGTCTCCTGTACAAACAAGAAATAAACACCTTCATTAGCGCTGCTGCGGCCTTCAGACTCATGACTGCGACAGATTCCCGCTTGCGTCGTCGTGGCAGCCGGTTGATGGCGGAGCGGGAGCTGGAAAATGAGCAGAGCGATGCGGTGCCGGGTGTGATGGGAGTTTGCGGGACACTGAAGCCGTCTACTTCTTCCACCATGCGGAAGGCACGACCCCGAGCCAGGGGGTCTACGATCTGCGCACAAGCACACGAACACACACACACACACACACAGTACGTACATGTCGGTTCACCACAGCTTTGTTTCTAGTTTCAGTTGGCAAGCCACATACAAAAGGAAACAGCAGTGAGCAGCGAGGATGCACAAAACACATCTGAGCTGGGGTTTGACTGATGGATCCGGTGAGAAGGAGCTTCCTCCTAAAGGTGCTTAAAGCTGAGGTCGCAGCATTTCGTTTTTGTGACACTGGCCTCAAAATCCATACTGGCATATTCAGCATAATTTAATTCAAGCGGTCTGAGAGGAAACTAGACTCCTGCGTCGCTCTCAGGCTTCTTTTCCAGGCTTTAGAAAATCTAAGCCATGACAGGAGAGTGTAGTTAATCGAAAAGCTTTTCATCCAGAACAGATAAGAGATTATGAAAAGTTACAAAATCCATCGTGGGCATAAGGACTTCCACTCAGGAGAGCTGGGTTTTTATCCCATTGGATGCCACAAGTAAATGATTAATTTAAACTTGACTGAATTATGTTTTTGGGGTTTTTTTTTTTTTAAATTGTTGTTAGTTGTCCCCCCCTTCTGACTACACCAGCTTTATTTGGCAGGTTTCAATGATAGAAAACTAATATGCTACAATCGCTATTTGGTAATTTCAAGTTCTACCAATAAATATTAAACCTGCTGTTTATTATTTGCACATTGTTATGCTTTGCAATTAACAGCCGTTATCTGTCTTCTATTACACTATGCAAATTTACACATTACAAAACATTTTACATAAACAGACGCATTCTCTGGCTACTACGCTTACAACATGGGTCTATGCTAACACGCTAGGAGCTAAAAGAGATTTTACAGAGTGAAATTGTCAACAACAAAAAAAACTTCAGGTGCCTTATTTGCTTTGACATGGGAAAGATTCCCATTGACAGTTGTTAGTGCATGCAGTTAATTTTTTTCTAGATAAAGAAAGCAAGCTAGCCAGTTAGCTAATTAGCAAAAACATTTGTTCTCAGGAAACAAATAGCTAAAACTATAAATAACTGATGCACACTTTAATATACGCTTGTCATATAGAGATCAGAAAAAAATCAAATAAGATAATAATCACATTAAAAACATTATATATTATTATTATGTAATTAATAATACTAACAGTTATACACTACTACTTATATATTGTGCCTTTGAGTTGATTGTTAATTGTGGTTAGTCATAGGGAAGTTAGACATCTTTACAAAGACTTGGCTTCATGCATCGGTCTCATCATCTCATCAGTTGAACCCCGGGCAAGACGACAAAGCAAAGAGGTGAGGCGAGCACTGACAGACGGACGTGACATAAAGTAAAATAGCGAAAGAGTGAGGGAGAAAAATGGTGATGGAGCAAAAGGTGAGTAAATGTCCCATCTACGTCTCCATCCCTCTGAGGTGCCCGTGGTGCTGGCCTACCCTCTGCATGCCATAGTGGTGGTGACTGGGGTGGAGGGGTGGGAGGTAGAGGGGAGGAGGGGTCTCAGTGCTGGCCAGGGAGAGATTGTCTTGGCTGTGTAGCTCCATCTCCCTCATCACCTGCGGCTTCAGACCCCCGTACAGATGGCTGCAATGCTGCAGGCTCTTCCTCCTCCATCGCTGGGTGCTGTCGCTGTCCTTGCTCACCCCGAACCAGTCAGCCGTGCCCCTGGGAACAGAGAGAGCAGGCTCCGGTTAGTGAAAACGGAATAGTCTGGTATGTTTGACGGACTCTGGAGGGGTTCGTGAGAAATTAGATGCACACAGCAATCAAGAGAAAATTGTGTGTTTTCTAACAGAAGACGCTTTGACATGTCACAGCAGGAAAAGCACCGGTGTAATCAGTAACGGACCCACTGGAATGGCTCGGCGGGACATTTAACGGAAGTGGGTCATCGTTAGAGTTGTTTGTTCCACTTGTGCTTTCCTTGCTATGACAAGTCCACAGTGAAAAAGGTTTATTCTTTGACAGACTGAACTCTGTTGATTAGCACTACAGCATGCTGATTAGTTGATTGATTGTTGGGGATTAGTTTAATAGATAACTGGGTCACCTCTTTGGTGGTTTCCCACTAACGCAGAGTAAAAAGACCATGAAAGCAGCTTGATTCAACCCAACTCAAACCCACAAAATCTGCCAGAAACTTGGGTGTCATGACTGATGACCAACTAACCTTCATGGTGCCTCTATTGCTCGGTCATGTCGATTCACCTTGTACAACATCAGGAAGACCTTTCCTGTCTGTACATGCAGCACAACTCCAGGTACAAGCTCGAATAATATCACACATTGACTACTGCAACTCCGTATTGGCAGGCCTCCCTGTATCCACGGTCAAACCTCTGCAGATGATCCAGAATGCAGCAGCACGTCTGGCTTTCAACCAGTCAAAAACAGCACATCTCACCCTGCTGTTCAGATCACTTCACTGGCTTCCAGTTGCTGCCCGCATCAAATTCAGAACTCTGACACTTGCTTACAAAACCACAATGAGAACAGTTCCCTCCTACCTGAACTCTCTCATTCAGGTCTACACTCTCTCCCGCTCACTACGCTCGACCAACAAAAACCGCCTGTTACAACCACCACAACAGGGTCAGAGGTTGATAGCTCGACTCTTCTCCTCTGTGGTTCCACGGTGGTGGAACGAGTTACCGAACTCTGTACAATCTGCTGAATTCCTCTCAGTCTTTAACAAAAGACTAAAGACCAGTTCTTCACTGAACACCTTTGCACTTGACTATGCTATAACCGTGTCTCAGAAGACAGTACGGCAGCATTTTGAACTTTGGAAGGCCAACCCTAACAATGTTAAATGCAAACTCTGTATGCAATAGTTTGCTTGTCATTCGACAACACTGAATGTGACAGGAAAATGGATTAATGGGTTCAAGTCCATGTCGGCTTTTTTATAGCAGGCATCAATTTATGTTAACCAGTTTCATTTGTTTACAGATTGTTTTAATGTTTTAAGTGAGACAAAACAGCTTGATTTCAACAGAAATACGCTTCATATGAAAAATCAACCGTATGCAATTGAAACAGGCTGCCACTGAAATCCTACATCACATGCAGTTGTCTTTGATTGTTATTTAAATGTTTAAAACATGTGTTTGCAATGTTGAAGTGGTTGAAATCTTGACTTAAACTCATGTCTGTGAATTTCCAAAATGACAAGTAGGAAAAAAGGAACAAATAGTCAGATCTTTGAATTTCACAGCCGAATCTGATTCAAATGACAAAATTCTACTACAGCCCTAAAACGAACTAAATTTGATTATTTCCATACAACCAATCAGAAACAAACTAATGCAGTTATCCTGGATGAAAGTAAAGTGACTTGACAATAAAGAATCAGGGTGAAATGTGGGTCACAACATGCACAGCTACAGCTCAGGCCATTAAACAAAGGTCTCTTGTGCAACATGACAACATAAAAGAGTTCCTTCTTGTATTTTCATTTCTTCTCCATCTCATGGTATGTGAGCATGTTTGATTTCATAGACACTTGAAGATCCAGCTTTGAGAGGCTGGATGACGAATACTGTCTTGTTTTCTCACACAACTTGTTGCCTTGGGCAGAGAAGATGCAGCTGTTCCTTCATATTCCCACAGTAGATGACCTGACATGGCTGCGTGTGTGTGTGTGTGTGTGTGTGTGTGTGTGTGTGTGTGCTACAGTTCCACTCAGTAAATGTGCATCCAGTGCCTGCGTGCCAGGCTGTGTGTTAACCCATCAGGACGGGGGGGAGGCCACGCTCGGGAAACTGTTTGGAGAGCAGAGCATTCGGTAATAAACACTCAGCACTCATCATCAAGAAAAACGCCAGCTGGGGAAGCCTTTTAAGGCTGCGCAGGGGCCATGTGGGGGCGGCGCAGCCCTGATTGTTGTCCCTCCAGAGAGGAACGTCTTAGAAGGAGGACACAGGTTTGGGAAAACTGAGAAAAGGAGTAGGATTCAGAGTGGGCCTCATGTAAACAGATAGAACAGAGACTGACAAAAAAGACATAGGAGGTCCCAAAAGTGGTTTAGATATGATTGTATTCGATCAGGATTTCCACTCTGATGCAAAAACTCTGCCACGCTCTGAATAGAAGCTTATTCCGGGCTTGAGGACATTTGTTTGTTTAGATAAGTGACTATTTGTCTGTTTGCGCACATGCACTGACAGGCACACATGTCATATTCACCCACACGTAACATCAGTAAAACATTCACCGCTGCTTGACGACAGTCCAAAACAATCACACACCACAGAGCGAGGCAGCGTTAAGCCACAGGAATTAGCATCCGTATCCTCCAGGTAAGGCTGGTACGCATGGAGCAGCAATCTGCTGTTCTGTAATTACAGGCTTACGCAGTATTCATTTCATCAGGGAGAGAGGGCCGGAGGGCAGAGCTTTGTACAATCTAAACAAATGCTGCCACTGAACAAACAAAGAGAACAAATAGTGGGGGTAAATACGAGCACTGACAGTAAGTGTTTACTGACTTCTGATAAATCTATCTGCAGCATTTAATGTTGCGTCAAAGGTTAAGCTGATACATAAGTTTACCATCAGTCAGTGTTTATTAACTAAAAAACGCACGAGATTACGATTCACATATTGATAGTTAAAGTAAGAGAAGTCAAAACGGTCATTTAATAGTGGCGACGTTTGACCACTGACTCAAAGCAAGGCATTGCACTTACAGATTAATTAAACGTTCAGGTAACGTCAGACACAAATATTATACTTTTAGCTATTTTACAGAAAAGGTTTGTTTTTTTATTTTCAGATTTAATACAGAAACACACACAAAGTTGTAAAAATGTGCATATTTATCACTTAAACTCACCAACATTACATAAAGTATTAATATTAGGCTGCATGCTGAGCCACATATATAAATATTACGGGATCAATAATGAGCTAATATATGCAATATTAGGATTACAGGAGCTGTTCTACTGCCCGTTTTTATTATCCTTGATATGTTAATTAAAAGTAATTTAGTTTGTTGCTGATACAAATATGTACCTTTACTTTGGTGAAATTTTAAAAACAGCACTTTTACTCCTAGATGATTTTAATGGTGTTGCTACTTTCACTTAAAGGGTTCAAAGGGTTTAGAAAATACAGCTTCTGCAGTTGTTGCACACAGTTAGTTAACATATTTGCACAGTTAGTACGTGTCAGATTTGCTGTCCCGCTCCAACATATTTGACAAAATGTGCTTTAGAATTGCCTTCTCCACCTTGAAAGGACTAGTTCAACATTTTAGAGAACAAACTTTCTTGCTGAGTTAAATGAGAAGACTGATCCTGCTCACATCTGTCTGTTCACTTCATCCAGCCACTGGTTAGTCTAGCTCAGCACAAAGACATAAACAATGAGCCTAGCCTAAAGAAGATAACTGCACCTTTAATACCAAAGAAGAAAAATCCCTCCATGGTCATTGATTTAACCTTAAAACATCCTCTGTGTGTATCAAACTTACATATTAAGGTGCTTTTTCTAATGAGATGGCTGAGATGTAACGCTACCTGGTTGCTTCTTTCAGAATGTGCAGATCTATGAAGTTCACTCAGCCCTTCACAACTTACTGCAGCTGGAGCACACCAACTCACCGACAACTCTGGTCAAACACTTTAAAGACATTCTTCACAACAAAATGGCAAGTTTTTAATATGAGACTAATTAGGGTGACCAAACGTCCTGTTTTCTCAGGACATGTTCTGTTTTCACGTCCTGTCCTGGCCGCCCTGGTTGTTTTTTTTATAAAGTGATGAAAATGTCCTGGTCTTGTCCTGGAGGAGGCATACTTTAAATGTTCTGAAATTATAAAGCATCTTTGAGTCTTGTAGTTGAATCGTAACACCTGGATTGAGGGTCTTCAAGAAACTTAAGCAAGTCCAGTTGTTACCCCCCAATTGAAACCGAAACTCAGGTGTTAATGGCTCCTTAAGGATAGAAGTATCTGGAACTCTCAACTAGTCAGTCAGAACTGATGAAGCTTCTTGGATGAGAGGTGAAACGTCTTCAAGAATGTCAAGCAAGTCCAGTTGCTGCGACGAAACTACGAGAATAACCATGACCTGGATGACTGAGAATCTTCACAGGCAAGGCACCTTTGAGTAAACTTTGAGTATCATTTGAGTATGTAATTGCCGGGGCGAGCGTCCTGATTTTCAACAATCAAAATATGGTCACCCTAAGACTAATGCAGCCATACATGAAGAGAAACTGATTTAGAAGAACACTAATGACAAATAAAATGACATGTTATCAAGATAAAAACATTGTTCTTAAATGTGCATATGTAAGTTAAAGCGGAACAACAAGACATTGCCTCTGGACGGAGCCAGACTCTGCTAGAAAGCAAGTAGAAGAGATGGTTCATGCATTATATGGAGATGTTAGCAATCAGAAAAAGTTCAGTAAAACCCAACATACAGGGCTAAAAGCAATCCAAAACATGCACGGCTAGTCTCGGCTAAATCCTTTATTTAATTTTTTTTTTAAAAACTTAATACCCCACCAAAGAAATGAATCACATCAGCAGCACTGAGCAGCTCCATCCACTGTCCAAAGCATCCCAGGTTGGACTATTTACTCTGCTCTGGTCTGCTACAGCACACTCACCTGTCCAGAGAGCTCCAGGAGGGGTTCAGGGTCTGGGTCATACCTGATTGGGGCGGGAACTATAGAGCTCCATCACCAGCGCTGTCCCCACTTACCCCCCGACCCGTATTAAACCCTGATCCGCTGGATGCAAACTGATCCTCCGGAGATCACACATACAATGTTCTATAAGGGGATTTCCTGACATCCAGGGCAGCAATACCTCGCTGTTACGCAAAGAGCGGAGGATAAACACGCGTCCAGCCTCTGTTAAACATCAGCGTCCTGCTCAGCGAGTTCCAGAGTTAATCAAAGGTTAAGAGGGAAAGCCGGCGCTGATCTCCTCAGTCAGACGAGAGAACAGATCCGTAAAGAGGGCTTCCAGTTTTTCTTCCAGCTGGAAATGCTCATTGAGCGCACAATGAGGCTGCAGGCTGCGGGAGGGTCTTGCGTTTCCTGAACTTGTGTCACCAGCGAGGAACAGAAGTTTCCGTAGGACTGTGTCGGCGGCTGGCGGGCCTCCCAGTGTCCCTCCTCGAGAGTTCACGTCAAAGGATGTGACCTACTGAGCAAAGAAGACAGCAGCTCTGGTCCTTGTCAAACTGAACACTCCCCTCATTCAGATCTCCAACAATCACCAGCAGTGAGGTCGTTCCTTCCGTCCCTCTGTCTGTCTGTCTGTCTGTCTACCTTGTTTTGCAGGAGGACATGTAAACAGCAGTTCTCCCTCTCAGCTCTCCACACGGGAAGTGGCCGATTACAAGGAGGGAGAGAAGACAGATCATCATACACATTAGGAGGGAGGAGAGGTGGAGGGAGGGCACTGGGACATGCCTGAACACGACACTAACACACATATATCCTCCCACACTCGGAGCAGAAGCACCGCAGAGGTTTAGTTTCTCCCGAATCACAGCTTGTAGCTCAAACCCCACCTCAAGACGTTTGTGTCAGCGTGAAATAGAAGTCCAATTGAGCGTGTGAACTTCAGCTTAGACACCCGTCATTATGAGCATCGGCGTGACTGATAAATTATCATCTGTTTAACTCCTGATCTGTCAAACTAAATGGCTCTTTAACATGAAAAACGACTCATAAACAGCGTCCTCGAGATCAACAAAACCCCACAGTGTCCTCCCGGATATTGACTGCAAGTCACACACACTTTGTTTGAATGGTAAAAGATTTATCTCAGATTTGTGAACTCTTTTCAGGGCAACGTACCTACGCCAACCTCCACAAACTCTCTCAATCCCACTCATTTTCCCGCAAACATCAAACACATCAACTCTTTTTTTTTCACTCAAATGCAAAGCTAATAAACCCCGGCGTGATAAAGTTAAGACGTTCTTTGAAGAAGAGCTTCGCCAGGTTTTGGTTTTGGCTCCGTGTTCAAACATTTACATTCAATTTAACGCCGTTTCAGGAGCTGCTTTGATGTGGCCTGTATGAGTAATTGTATTATTTTGTCTGCCTCAAACACCAGTGGTCCTGTGTGCCACCTGGACCGACACTGATACACCGCGTATGTGCATTCTTCATGTGTCATAGACAAAGCATCACAGCTGGGGCACACAAAGAGCACCGTGCTTATGGGACTTTTTTTTTGCAAAAACTCACTCAATGCACACACAAAGGGGGGTAAAATGTGGTTAAAGTTGTTAGTTATCCTCAGTCTTTTGATGTGTGGTGCACCTCAGTTCACAGATATTGTGTGAGTAAGTTGTGTTTTCATGTTTCCTCAGACTGCCTCGTGCAGTTCAGGTTCTATCAAGAAATGGATCGCTCTCCCACGGAGGCTTTTGTCTTGACGCAATAAAAATCTCATTCCTGTTTTATTTGTGCTGAAAACATCTGACATTACATTGTTTTCTTCGTGCCTGGATTAACAGAATCCATCTGGCCATCTGGGAGTAACAAAAAAATGGCAAAATAATATGGCAACGCAGCAGTGATTTAGTTTGTACGAGTCGAAATCCCTTTTTTTAAATCGGAATTTCAATTTTGAGCAATCATAAAAGAAATTGTACATATCTTAATATAGGTGTTAGAAGTGCACGTCACTTTCACAAGTCTAAAATTCAGTACATATCAGTGACTTAAATAGAATTTTAGAGATCTAGAATTCCACTAATAATATCTGTAATTTAAGAACAGTTTAATAATCAACACTGCTGCTAGTAAGAAATCCATCCATCCATTATCTATACACCGCTTAATCCTCATTAGGGTCGCGGGGGGCTGGAGCCTATTCCAGCTGACTTAGGCGAAGGCAGGGGACACCCATCAATCTTAGAGACAGACAACCAAGCACACTCACATTCACACCTATGGACAATTATAATCACCAATTAACCTCAACATGTTTTTGGACTGCGGGAGGAAGCTGGAGAACCCGGAGAGAACCCACGCTGCACGGGGAGAACATGCAAACTCCACGCAGAAAGATCCTGGTGCCCTGGACTCGAACCGGCGACCTTCTTGCTGCGAGGCAGCAGTGCTAACCAACTGCGCCACCTTGCAGCCCTCATTTCTACTAGTATTAAAATAATTGTAGATATGAAGAATGAACCTTTTGAGCTGTGAGAAATGAATCGTAAATATCTTTAATTAAAATTGCATCTACCCAAAATGACATTATGTTGGCTTTGTTATTCTAACTAGTCCAAAAGCAGCAGCAGTTATCTAAATTTGCTCTTACTAATGCAACATCAGTAACTTCTGAAGTTAACAGGCTGAACTTGTTAGTGAACAGTTTCCCGTTGTCACATCCAGGAGTTGCTTTGCACCTGGTGAATGTAAGTTTACTCTGCATTTTAAATTCCAACCAGCCTCTTTAGCTGCTATATGCTCGGTTATGTTCACTAGTTGTAGCTATCTTTATCCGTTTCGTGGCTTTTTTAAAATGAAAATATGTTTTTGGAATGAAATCAGTAGAGAGCTTTGAACTAAACAATGAGCTGAAAGATGCTAAAACCGTATATAGAGTTGAGAGGAACTGCAGCTGAGCCGTAATTATCTGCGAATTAGTCACCAAAACCGACTTCTTTGACTTTATATAAAGCCCTTTGATTCGCTGTGATAAAAGTAAATTGGACCATTTTCCCAGCTGTAGATGTGGTCAGTTAAATACCACCAGGGAATGACAAGACGCTTATGAAAAGTGTTTTGACCATACTTATGAGTTTTACAGTAGCTTTGGGGGCTCCCTTTTTTTTTAACCAGCATATTACAGAATCATTGTGACAGCTGGTATACATTACTGTTAATATCCTATCATCTAGCTTTCTCTCTCTTTAAGCTTGTAATAATACTTTTATTGGACATTATCTTATATTTGCTCTATCTACGAGCTCATTTGACCCCAGCTTGACGTTTATACTGAAACACAGGATTCCTAATCAAATGAAAACTAATATGTTTAATGACTCATGATACAAGTACTGATCATTAGATTTGAAATGACTCAGCCACCATTTGGGTCATGACTGCTGACTAACTTTTAGGTCTCTATCCACAGCATCTGTGAGAGCTTCAGGTCACATCCAAAGACATTATCAAAGCGCTGTCATTTCCACCTCTCCTGTACCTGATGATCTGTTTGGGTATAGACGAGCGCCGTCTGGTCAGTATTTTGGGGATGCAGGATCGCCTTCGGATGGTTGACACCCTCCTGGGGCCCCTCTGGCCCTTCGGGGGAACCGTGTTGACGCGCTCAAAGCGAACCTTTTTCTCACTACATCGGTATACGAGGCAGGGAGGCAGTCAGGAAAAGCAGAAGGTAAACAAGGCGAAAACCAAAGAGAAGGGAGGACAAGAGAGAAGAAACAGAGCAAGATTAGTTTGAGTAAAATCAGAAAGGAAGCAGAGCATCAATTAGTTTTGTTAACGATTTATGAGTGCAGAGGAATTATTAGAATTAGTAAACAAGTTCTAGCAGCTGGAGAGTATCAGCGCAGAGGAAAGCAGAGGGCCTTGGTTGAGTATGTCTATATTTGTGCATGTGTGTCTGTTGGAGTGTAACCTCTTGATGGACTGTGTGATGGAGGGAAGTCTCTCCAGAGGAGGTCTGAGGTAGTTGTTGGAAGTTTCCAAGGCAGCGATGCAGGTCTGCGGGTTTTCCCCCGGCATGCTGACGCTGCGCAGACGCTTCACCGGCTGCAACGCACAAAAACACACCGACACGGGATACAGTCATCCTCTAAGTTACATGAATACGAGAAAGCGTGTTAGATGAACAAGTAAAAGCTCTGTAAGTGTGATTAACTAGAGGCATTTGAATTTGCTCAGTGATCAGTGTGACAATTCAAATCACGTGACACTAGTAACCTCAATCTGCTGAAGAGAAATGCTGTTGAAAGCTTGACAAAAAACAAGTAAATGGTAAAAGTAATGTATTTTTTTTTCTGGCTAACCTCATGACTGTCGTGTTGACAGTAAATTCCAGTGGCGATTTTTACTCACGCCCTTCTCGTCATCCTTAACTGTGACTGTAATCCCCTCCCGGCGCTCTGCCCTGTGTTTGTGTTTGAGTGCGGTTACCTGGGTGAGCGTCGGCGTGTCGTCTGGCGTCAGCTGGATGGTTGGGATGTCCAGTTTGAGCCATGGTGGCTTCTTCCTCTGGAGGCTGCTGTTCCTGCTGCCTGGCTCATCCATGTTCCTCACCTCCCCCTACACCTGCCAGCTGGATGACACACAGCAATAAAGATGTGAGTTTGTGGGAGAATTCACACAGTCAGAGTGCAGTCACAGACACATGACGGTAAACGTTTCTGAACTGTCAAAACGAAACTGACCAGCTTTGCTGAGTAATTACAGGCACCGACTGGACAGCATGTGCATATAATCAACAGTAATCCACGTCTCCCCGTGGTGTGGGCTCAGACAGCGTGGAGGCAAACGCCAGAATAAACAAACTGCTTAATCCAAATGTTAAATGCCACTAGTCTGGCAGCAAGTTTGAGCGTCTTCTTCCTGCATCACATTGCAGAGTGATACTGAACTAGTGTGATTTAACTCAGTGGAGCTGGAGCACCATATTGGTCCTCAAGTGAATGTACATTGTGTAAATGTTTAATGTATCTGATTGTGTTTTTTCCTCAACAAAAGAATAAGGCTGCAAAATAGCTTCTTAAAATACACATACTGCTCATAGCAATACAAACAAGGATGCACTTGTTTTCCTTTTACTGTCACAAAGTGCTTTCTCAGAGGGAATGTTTGTAATTTGTCTGGTTTAAATTAATAAATTAGTCAGGCAATGTAGTACGGCTTATAGTAATGCAATTTTTGTATTTAAGTCAGGGTTTGGTAAAAGTGTGTAGCAAATAATATTAAAGGGATCTTAAAATTAAGACTAAAGCACCCTTCCACACTCACCACTGTGATCTCTATAAACTGGTGACGTGGCCCTCTCTTCATACTCGGCTGGTTTCATTTCCTTTACAAGTCAATTCAGGGCAAGACACCTCCCTACTTGTCCTCTCTTCTTCGTGTCACCCATAATTCGTATCATACTAGGTCTAGTGAATACATCAAGCTCGTCACCTTCAAGCTTAAAATCCAACAGATTGCAGCTGACTGTTGCTCCTTCTGATCACGTCAGACTTTACTTACACACTTACTTATATATACACACACACTTTCTTACACCTCATGCACATCTTTGCTCACTCACATGCATATGCTCTGATGCTTCTTACTTGTTTACTTTTGTTCTATGTTATGTTCATGTGTCTATCTGTGTCTGTAATTTCCATGTGTATTTGTTCCTGCTGGCGCCTCTTGGCCAGGTCATGTTTGCAAATGAGAACTGGTTCTCAAACATTTTTACCTGCTAAAATAAAGGTCAGATAAATAAATAAAGTGAGTTAGATACATTTTAACATTAAACTTACTGGGTTAATGTCTGCTGCTGCAATTGCGCTACACAAACAACAGTGACTTGACTTTTATGCAATCTTATGCTTCTCTATTAATTTACCCAAATCCAAACTCATTTATTTTAAACTCAGCTGGAATCAATGTGTGTAATGAGCCGAGCTGCACTGCTGTCTGTTCGCTCTGATTTAAAACTTGACTGCTCCAGGTGAGGCTCGAACTCACAACCTCGGCATCGCTCCGCTGGTTACTGCCTTATAAGTACCGCGCGCTGACCGATTGCGCCACTGGAGCCTCCACACAGGAGACAATCTAGCAGAGTTTTGGACGGGCTTTAGTGTAGCTGTGCTTCAACACCACAAGGTGGCAGTAGGCTCCTCACCCACAGAGACACACAGAAGCCATCGATGAACGGAGATGCTGCTCAGAGTGCTGACATTCTTTAGATGAAGCGGTCTAAATGCAGCAACCACCTTTTACCAGACAGCACCGGATAAAAACGCCTCCACTCGACCTGCTGATTGCTGGTGAATGACTTTTAAAACATTTGTAGAGGGGGGAGTAGAGGGGTTTTCCTGTTTAACTGCTTTAATGGAAGTTGAATGAGAATAAATGAGACAACTCCTCGTGTCTAGCCAATGAGCCGTAGCCAGCAGCTAGTGAGAGTCTTTGCTGTGGCTCCTTTTTATATGACAAACAAAAAAAGAAAAAAAAAAACAGTCATCCTTTCTTCTCTCGTCTGGTGATGCGCTTTAGAGCCGCTGCGCACGTCAGGTGAAGCCACAGCACAAAACCTCAGCACCTTCCTGCTGCTTATTGTGTCACAGGCGTTCCGTGGCAACAACAAAGGCCCTGAGAATCTCTTCATCTGATGCTGTAACATGCAGAAGCTTTAACCACCGCTAAAAAAGAGACAACACAAAGTGCAACTGTCCCTTTTTATTTCTGTAAAGCACATGATGCAGCTTCTGACTATAACTGAGGCCCATTTGCAACTCACAATTCAAAGTCGTTTTGTAACAAGTGGGCCATTGATTTTGAACAGAGGAGTACAGATGGACGAACCTTCACATTTAGAGTTTGTCTGCTGGAATAAAAACAGCTGCCGTCGGCAGATTTGATCAACTAATTAAGCCTAATTTTAGTTTCATAATTTTCGGGAAAATTCCTCTCTGTTTCCAATGAACCCTATTAAAGTTCTAAATATGCACAAGAAAGATCCGACATAATAGAGAGCTACAAACTTGAGTCTAGCATTGCACGATAATCGTTGGCAGGAGAGGATAAGTGAACAATCCGTTTTCTTATACTTATTGCATTTATTAGATCTGGAATACAATCTTGTCAC